CAGTCACCGCGCGTGGCTGGGGGAGGCTGGGAGAGAAAAGCCCGTCCAGCCCTGGCGTGAGCAGCCGTCAGTGTGAAACTGGCAAACGAATCTGTCCACGCTGAACAGCTGGAAGTGATAGGAAGCTGCAACTCGTCCGTAACTGGGAGCAGAGGTACACAGGGGTGTGACGCAGATTAAGCTGACAGTCTCCTCCAGCTGGTTCTCCTTGAGACACTGCCCTGCTCTTGGTCTCTGGTGGAATGTTATTATTTCCCCATTCCTCTCACTCGCGTGCTGCGTGGGACACCTCTTAGAGACCACGCACACCTGCCACTGCTGAGGTGGCTGATTCCACATAGGCGTCCATCAGCCTCAGGCCGATAGCTGGCAGTCCTCACATCCAGCCAGACACAGTCGCCCAACTGCCTGCACGCACGTGCGACCCGAGAGGTGGCCGACCTGGGCTCACCGGACCACCCTCACCAAGAGAGGCCAAAGTCCAGTGGCAGTGCCTCCCTGTCGGCCCCCCACAGGCAGATGGCTCCCAGACACACTGCATAAGGCCCAGTTGGTCGCGCATGCACACAGTGGCCCATATTAGGAAAAGCCCTGACCCTGGGGACCTGCGACGTCCCAGGCCACTGCTGCGGCAGGCAGCAAGAGAGGCAGTAGCCGGGAGGATGGTAGTTATCTGGAGTCGGTGTGGAACACGTGGGTTTTTTCAGTGCAATGGTAATCAACATGCTAAAACTTTATTGCTAATTAGACATCTACGCAAACAAATGAAAAGACGTTCAGTAATTGGACAGTTAGTTCATACTAAAACCGTTTCATGACCGTCTTTTTAATGAAAAGTGGAATTGATTCCTATAAATGAGATACACCGGCTGCCTCTGGGTACACGCATGAGGGCAGGGTCAGCACGGATCCAAAGAGAAAGTCCTGGCTTCCTTACAGCTGGATTGGAATCATAGACCTTTCTTTCTTTTTCTTTTTTAATGCCAGAGGGCGTGTGCATTTGCACGTGTGTGCACAACAGAAAGAGAGAGATTGAGAGAAAAATGGGGCTTGGTCATGCTAACTCTGAAATCCTTTTCCTCCAATCCTCTAGAACGTCTAGATCTTGACATGGACACATGAGCCTCCTGTGCTTTCCAGGCCAACATGGCTGGGACTCTAACCCCCAGCAGGCACATAGGTTCTAGCTTCCCCTACTTAACTGCTGAACTATGGGGCCAGCCCTGGACCCACATATCATAATGCCCACTCAGGAGCTACTGTGTAACTCATGAGACTAGCAAAAGCTTCAAGATATCCTGCAGCAAAGAAATGTATATAGCTTTGTTTAACTAGAGTCCCCAAATTTATTTGAAAATGGAAACTATAACAAAAACCTATAGTAGGCTAATCTACTGTGATTACTATTAGTGATTAATGATCATACGACTAATACACTATTAATAATGATTGATACTAAGCTTCGGAAGTCTCGGTCTAGTCCACTTATTCCGTATTATAGACCAAGACCCTTCCCTTGAAACCCACTCCTCTTTTCTAAAATCACGTGCATCTTTCTTTACTCTGTTAGAAAGCTCTTCCTAATATCTAACTCCAGATTCTTAAGCAGAACCCCAAGCTCTTCTCTTTCCAACTGTCCTTCAGAAGAACAAAGAATACTTCCTTGGATAGACATGCATAGTAAATGCTCAGTACTTGAAAATTATTATGGGTTACTCCATTTAATCGATAGATTTCAATAGATTTTTGTGGAAACGAACTGTGAACTGTCTCAGTCCACGTACTGCTGAGTGGGGAGGGGACCGGGGTCCCCGCAGCTTGGGTCCTGCAGGACTCAGACTCACAGTTAGTACAACAATCAATGCCTAAGGCTACCTTGGGCACTAGGACCCAGGCGGTCTTTGGGACAGAGGAGAGAACTGGTGGGGAGCACCACGCACAGGATAGGGCCTTGGAGGACAGGGCACCCCAGGGTGCAGGGGAGCTCTTCCCTGTGACAGTGGAGAATGGGCATGGAGCTTCACTGTGGTGTCTAGCGTCAGGTGCACATAACCTCACGAGGTCCCCACCCACTGCGAGGGTGCTCCAAGGACCAAGAGCCCCTGGAAGGTGACCTGATGTGTCTTTCCATGCTTTTCCCACTCATCTGCTGGCGGTGCCTCCCGGAGCAACGCGGAACGCATCTATAAAAGTCTTTGAGTACATGCTGAGGCTGCTGAAAAGAGTCTATTTCTTTCTTTTTAAAATAAATACCCAGATTACATTTCTGGCAGCTTCCAAGGGGGTGTGGTGAAAGGAGCTGACACTATATGAGCATCAGACCCTGTGCCCCAAGAGCCAGGGGCCCAGGCAGGGTGGGGTGTAGAAAACGCAGCCTCACCTTAGGTGCCGCCTTTAGAACATCAAGCTCGCCAGCTGCTCTCAGACACCCAAAGATGCCCAATTGTTCCAAAGAATTCAGAGACAGAATTAAAACTTAAATATAACATATTCAAAATGCCCGAAAATCAAAAACTGAAAAGAGAATTTAAAAAATCAACTTTTGGAAGAATAAAGTTGAAATAATCGCCTCTCAATAATCTAGCTGTCCAGTCCATTTGTAAAGAAAGCGTGCAATTCTAGAAATGGCCTTGCACATCTATGGAAACAGACCCGCTAGTTCCCCAGTGGGACATAAGTCCAAAGCCTGCCCTGTGTAGTCTCTGAGGAAGCACTCTGACCCGCAGGTGCCCCTCGTCCCCGGGGGGTTCAGGAAGCTCTACTTGAACTGGTTTCAGAAGGACCCAAAAGGCAGCAGGATGCCATGTTTTCTTAGCTAGAGAATAAAGTTCCTGAAACTTCCACTTCTTAGGTTGCCTGTCTCTCCAAGCAGAACGTCTGATGCACTTGGACAGGCCATTTCACCATCTAGCTTGTTTAAAATGAAAAGGCCAAGTGAAATTTAAATATCAGCCTGTTAAAAGGGAAAAAAAAGGAAGGGAAAATAGAGACTGAGGCTTAGGAAGTTTAAGGCTGCTACTAAAGGCCAGGATGGAATTTTACGGAAAATTTCCGCGAGACTCTCATCTGTGAAGTGCTAAAAATAGGGACCTGAGTGATGAAGTGTCGCTGCAGCTCCGCACCGGAGCACTCCGACGGCCCGGAGGTAACTGCCGTGCTATTTTAGCTTCGGGAGAACGGGGAGTGATTTTTTGTTCTTAGAATAAAATTTACGGTTTGATTGAGAAAATGGCAAAACATTTTTTCACAAAAGGGTGAATAAATCTCTATGAGAAGACAAATTCTCACCATCTCAACAAGAAAGCCCTATGAACCAGTCTCTCAAATGAGGGGTCATCTTGTTCCTGCCTGGGAGGCTCTGACACCTTCCCCGGTCCCAGGTGGCAGTCCGTCTGCAAGAGACTGCCAGGGCCCACATGATGGTCCAGACCTCAGTGTCCCCAGAACGAAGGTTCAAGGACAAACACCGAGTGAGGGATGGGGTAAAGAAAAGAATCTGTTGGAGACAGCCCAGGGCAGCACTCACGGGCTCCACGTTGTAGGAGAACAGCGCGTACTGACGGTCAGGGGATATTTCGTATCTGACGGCTCGGAGCGACTCCTGAAAAAAACAAACAAGAAGGTTTACAGTGCATCAAGGGTTTCACATATGACAGTGCAGAGTCCCCTAGTTAGAACTGGTAACATTAAAAATGGCTAGGTCCTTTTTTATTAGCTGAATAATAATCACTTAATAGATTTTTTCCCGTTTCATTAAGTATCCTTTTCAAATTTCAACCATTCAGCCCACATGGCTGACCATGGTTTGAATCCAGGCTTGCTTTTTCACTTTCTCTCTGTCCCTTTCTTTCTCTCTTGGTTTGTCCCTCTCTGGTCAAATTAAAATAAATAAATAAAGTTAAATAAAATAATTCTTTAAAAAAAAGAAAAAAAAAGAAAAATAAGGTAATAATAAATAAAATTTAGAAACAAAACAAACCACCCTTTCCTATAAGGCTCTGCCCTCTCGAGATGTACAGAAGCCCGTCCCTTGGTCACTCTCAAGCTCGGGAGCGGTATATTAACTGCAGCGGTTAGCGGCAGAGTCACGTTCCCACTCCGTTTTGCACTCGCTTTCTCAGCATCGCAGGCACCCCTGCAAGTCAGTACGGAGGCTATTTCCTGTGGCCGTCT